GCAATTGTTTTTTCTAAGTTTTATGTCTAATCATGTTCTACAGCAAACTTCAATGCTGCATGAGTGGCTATGGTGCTATTAACTATTAGCATAATAAAAACTAAAGCAGTCATCGATAATATGTGAAGTAAGTTTTCAGATTGTATTAATAATTTAAAATATACAAAGGTAGGCATGATCATTGGTAAAACTAAAATTTGTGATACTGCTGATGCTAAATTACTTTTACCAATTATTAACGCATGTCCAGTGGCTGATATATTAATTATTATCAAAGTATTAAATAGTAAAGATAATCCTATTGTTATTGAGTATCCAATACTGTGATCTAGAACTATAAAACTGAATATGAAGGAAATTACTGAAATTGGTAATCCAAACAATAACCAATGAGCAAAAATCTTATAGATAATTATGAGTTCAGAGGAAAGTGGCTGTATGAAAAATTGCTCCAATACCCCGTCATTGTAGTCAGATGCAAATAAATTGCTTGTAGAAATTTGTAAAACAAAAGTAGTGCATATCCACATTAATATTAGCATAATTTCTTGTTTATTATTATGACTTTCAAGTGTGAATGATGATAAGCTAAGCATTATAATGAAAAGGCATAGTGTATAGGTTAAACATGCTGCCGTTTTTTTGAGTGCATTAATCATACTGTACTTTTAAGTATTTATTATAAATTATAGTGTTTACTGTAATCATGATATAATTTTATGTTTATAAATTATTTAAAGTTTATAGATTTTATAAGATTTTATTATTTAATTAGCGGGGTAATTATGAATAGAGAACCATTGAGAGCAATGTCATTACAAGATTATGTTCCTTCAGAAAGTGAAGAGTATATGAATAAAAAACATTTAGAATACTTTAGTGAAAAGCTACATTCAATGCTTAATGATTTAAAACAACAAGCGTTGATTGATGATAGTGACGATACAAAATTGGCAAAACGTCGGACAGACAAAGAAGAAAAAATTAAAGAAGCATTAAAAAAAATAACGGATGGTACTTATGGCTATTGTGATGAAACAGGAGAGGAAATAGGTATAGGAAGACTTGAAGCTAACCCACTTGCTCTATATTGTATCGAGGAGCAAGAAAGAATAGAAAAAGAAAAAAGTATGTATAATATTGACGACTAATCTGGTATGTTTTACAGGAATTTCAAAAAAAGCTTTTCATTAGAAGTCACAAATGATAAATTATAGGTATAGATTATTGATAATAAGGTTATGTGCTTTAATTTGCCTAACATAAATAAGGAAGGTTATTTATTTATAATCATTTTCTTTGTAGTATCGTGTATAGCGTTTTCCATATCATGGGGACTGGGTGTTACATGTTTATTTCCAACATTATTGTGCATTTATTTTTTTCGTGACCCAACAAGAGCTGTTCCAAATAATAAGGATCTCATATTGAGTCCTGCTGATGGCGTAATCTCATCAATTGAAGAAGTTAGCTATAGTTTACCTGGGGAAAATGCAGAAGAGAAAAAATTTACTTGTGTTAGTATATACTTGAGTATTTTAAATGTACATGTAAATCGCATACCAATATCTGGTTCAGTAAAGGATATAAGCTATAAGAAAGGTAGGTTTGTATCTGCAATCAGCAATAGATCAAGCAATGAAAATGAAAAGCAAATTATTGTAATTCAGTACCAAGAAGGAAAAGAGATTATCGTAGAACAGATAGCTGGGTTTGTAGCAAGGCGTATTGTCTGTAATTTAAAAACATCTCAAAGTGTGAAAACCGGTGAAAGGTTTGGTATTATAAGGTTTGGTAGTAGAGTTAATATTTTTATTCCTTCTGAAATAAAAGTTAAAGTATCCAAAGGACAAACAATGGTAGGTGGTGAAACAGTTATAGCAAGCTTAAGTGATGATAATACTGAAGAAAATCTAACTTTTGATACTATATAAAAATAACAGACTTCTTTTACAGTCTGTTTATGGGTGCAAACAAAGGTGGAGAACAAAGGTGGAGAACAAAGGGAAGGAAAAAAGGGAAGGAAAATCTAGATGACAAAATCGCCGTCAGAAGAAACTGAGCTGCACAAGGAAGCTCAT